CCCCGGCCCCGCCCCCTCCCGGGAGAACACCTGGAGCAGCCCGCCCGCGCCGGCAGCCAGCCCCAGCCCCGCCCTCTGCCGCGCGGTGGAGCTGGCCCGCCCCGCCCCCTCCCGGGAGAACGCCTGGAGCAGCCCGCCCCAGCCCCGCCCTCGGGTCCTAGCGCGAGGACCCCGCCCCCGCGGGCTGTCCGCGGCCGCGCCGGACTCATCCTACCTTGTGGCCCGCACGAACAGTCTCCCGCCGCGGCCTGCGCTGCGGCGCGGCCCTCTGGCCTCGGGAATTCAGCGGCTGGCCGAGGTCCGCCGCTTGACGAGGAGCCGGCACGGCAGGCAGTGGGGAAGGCGGCCCGGACGGAGGCGCTCGGAGGGCCCCACCATGGCGGCTGCGGTGCGCGCCGCAGGCTGCCTGCCTGCGCTGCGCTGCGTGCCGGCGGGTGAGAGCCGGGACGCCGGGGGCGGGGGCTCTGAGCTGGGCGGCGGCGGGGTCCCTCCCGGGGCCTGCAGACGCCCAGGCGGACAGAAGCGGGAAGCCGCGGCCCCTGGGCCCTCACGCCGGGCTCCTGTCCCGCCTGGCCGGCTGTGTGACCTGCGCGCGTCGGCGCCCTCTCTGGGTCGCAGGGCCCGGGGCTGGGGAGTGAGGGTGGGCTGGACGCCGTCGAGGCCCCTTCTGGTTCACCAGTCCGCCCGTGTGCGCGCGGCCCAGAGGGCCAGGGAACTGCGAAGTCAGCGTCGCCTTCCCGGCGGGCCGACCCACAGCTTCATTCGGTGATGTCGATGTGGGGCTCGAGGCGGACGGCGGCCAGCGGAGCTCGAAAGGGAGAGAGGCCGTCCTGCGGCGTGAGTCGGGTGGGATTAGTGTTCGTCGTTGTAGAGTCTGGGCTGATGAGTGCCCTCATCAAAAGGAGGGATGTTCCCGAAGTCAGTCGTTTTGCTGTGATTGCCCGCCCCCACCCCTTGCTGGTTGGTTGCGGCCGGAGGAAGGGCAGTGGGCTATCGTCCAGCATAACGTTTCTCTCTAGGAACCGCTTCATGATTGGCTTGGGCGCCTCTATTCGCTGTGTTCTACCGTAAACCCGCAATCTAGCATTGGTCATTGTGAAGTCCAGATCTCTAAAAACAGAATTTTTTTTTTTTTTTTTTTTTTGGTGAGGAAGATTAGCCCTGAGCTAACATCTGTGCCCATCTTCTTCTATTTTGTATATGGGACACCGCGGCAGCATGGCTTGATGAGCGGTTAGTAGGTCCACTCCTGGGATCCTGACCCGTGAACCCCGAACCCCGGCGGTGCCGCAGAAGCAGAGCGCGCGAGAACTTAACCATTATGCCACTGGCCTGGCCCCTGAAAAGTTCTGTTTTGTGACTCATTTTGCTGGGAAACTTGACCAGAAATCATTTGATGGAAAATGTGACCAGAACGTTCTTTGCTTTTGTCCGTGTTGTGACCACGTTCTCCTTCATCCAGGAATGCACCTAGCTTTTGTAGCTTTCCTGCCTGAGCTCTTACTGAGCGCCAGGGACTATCTTAAGCTCTCTATGCTTTTTTCCCCACTTCGTCTTCACAGTGCCTTTTTGAGATAGATGACTTTATTATTCCCATTTCACAGATGAGGGAACTAAGGCACCTGGAGGTTGAGAAACTTGTCCAAGGTTAGACTGGGAGGACACCACCTGGCTCCAGAGCCAGTTTCTTTCTTTCTTTTTTTTTTTTCTTTTTCTGGTGTATAAACTTTTTAAAATAGCTTTATTGGGATATAATTCACATGCTATGCAATTCATCCTCTTAAAGTGTACAGTTCAGTGGTTTTCGGTATATTCACAGAGCTGTGCAATCATGTCCACAATCAGTTTTGGAACATTTTCATCACCCCAAAAAGAAACCTTGTACCCTTGGCTATTGTCCCCCCAGCTCCCGTTGCCCCCAGCCCTAGGCAACCTCTAATTTACTTTGTATCTCTATAGTTTGCATGTTCTGGACATTTCGTATAAATGCCATCATATAATTTGTGGTCTTTTGTGACTGGCTTCTTTCACTTAGCATAATGTTTTCAAGACTCATCCATGTTGTAGGATTCAGTGCTTCATTCCTTTTTATGGCTGGATAATATTCTGTTGTATATATACTACACTACAGTTTGTTTATCTGTTTATCAGTTGTTGAACATTTCGGTTGTTTCTACCTCTTGGCCATTATGCCTAATGTTGCTATAAACATTTGGGTGTAATGTTTTTGTGGGTACATATATTTTCATCTCTTGTGTATATACCTGGGAGTGGAATTGCTGGACCAAATGGTAACTCTGTGTTTAACCTTTTGAGGAACTGCTAGATTGTTTCTAAAGTAGCTGCACTATTTTGCATTCACCAGCAATGCATGAATGTTCGTATTTCTCCACATCCTTGCCAGCACTTATCTGTCCTTTTGATTATAGTCATCCTAGTGGGTGTGAAGTGGTATCAATTTGTGGTTTTGATTTGCATTTCTATGATGGCTAATGAGCATCTTGTGCTTATGGGCCATTTGTATATATTCTTTGGAGAAATATCTATTCAAATATTTGCCCATTTTTTAATTGAGTTGTCTTATTAGTGAATTGTAAGAGTCCTTTATATATTCTAGATACAAGTATCAGATACATGATTTGTTAAATTTTCTCGCATTCTGTATTATCTTATCACTTTCTTGATAATGTCCTTTGAAGCACAAAAGTTTTAAATATTGATAAGCCTGGTTTATCTATTTTTTGTTTTTGTTGCTTATGCCTTTAGTGTCGTATCTAAGAAACTATTGCCAAATCCAAGGTTATGATGATTTATCCTTATGTTTTTTTTCTAAGAGTTTTATAGTTTTTGCTCTTACCTTTAGGCCTTTGATCCATTTTGAGTTAATTTTTATATATGGTGTGAAATAGGGCTCCAGCTTCATTCTTTTGCATGTGGATATTCAGTTGTCCCAGCACCATTTGTTGAAAAGATTGTTTTTTCCCCGTTGATTTGACCTGGTACTCTTTTCACAAATCAGTTGCTGGTAATTGCTATCAGAGCCTGTTCTGAAGCCCTGCATTGTGTGAAGTGGTGCACACTACAAATACAGGCTGGCGGTGCAGGGGCTCCAGAGGGAGTGGGGAGCAGAGTGCTGATGGAGCCTCTGGGCATCAGGGAGGCTTCACCAAGAGGCGATGTTTCACACAAACCAGGAGAACATGTGCGAGACACACAAAAGGATTCAAGAGCAGGGTGTGTTCAACACTGACTAGAAATCTGGCGTGGCCGGGGGAGCGTGGAGGGGAGAGTGGTGGGAGATGAGGCTGATGTGGAAAGCTGGGGCCAATGCGCAGCCCTGGAGGCTGTGCTGAGGAGTTTTGACTTTGTTCTGCAGGCAGTAGGGAGCCAACGAATGATATATCAGGGCTGTGAAGTGACCAGACCTGTTATTTCAGAAAGGCCTGCCTGACAGCAGATGGTGACCTAGAGGGAGAGAGACCTGGAAGCAGCGAGACCTATTAAGAGACTGTTGTTACCATGTGGCTGAGGATTGGTGAGGCCTGAACAAAGAAAGGGCAGTGAGACCACAGGAGAGGGTGTGGCTGACTGGTAGATTGACGTTTGAGGAGAATTTATAGGGCTTGGTAACTGGTTGGATGTGAGAGTGAAGGAAAAGCTGTGTCCTTTACTTGGGCAAGTGATCGTGGATCCCAGAAATTACTCCTTTACTTGTCTTGGTTCTTTTATTCTAGAGATAGTAATATTAATATAGGTGTTACTGTTTATAATCTTCCTTTTCATGCAGAAAAATATCTTAAAATTTTTTTTTTTTTTTAATTCACAGGTCATTTATTGTCCGGGCAGCTTTACCTAAGCACCTTTCCGACAGCTTCCGTTTTCACGTTGAAGAATGTTCTCAGCAATGGTGAGATTCATTTATCAACCTTTTCTTATAAGGTCTAATGTTAGAGTACTCTCTATAGTTTTTAAAATGTAAATGAACAAAGCACATTCTTTATAATGGAAATGCATAGGGTCTAAAGAGTATTTTTCAAACTTTTATGTTTACAATTGTTATAGTTTAAGGCTTTAAAAAATAACAGCTATGATTTATTGAGTAATTACCATGTGTCAGGCTTATAACACGTTATCCTGGTTAATCCTCACACCAGTTTTTGTGCGGGAGTTGTTATTCCCATTTTACAGATGATGAAGTGAGTCTCTCAGGTGACTTGCTCAAGATCACACAGACAGTAAATGGCAGGACTGGGTCCTGAGCTGTCGGGATACTGTCAGGATGCCTCCTTGAAACAGTCTTTGTAGAAGGCCTTTGCTCCTACACCAGTGTAGCACAGGGCCCTCTCTTCAGTCACTCTCCAGAAAGGAAGGAAGCCAACACTTGCTGAGCCCATGTTGTGTTGTGGTCAGTTAAATCCTGCCTTTTCCACATGGACAGTGGTTAGGGCAGAATTGAAATCTTACTGTGTCCTTGAGTTTCTGGAACTCTGTGTGTTAGGCTTTCCTTTTAGTCTTACTCCCTTTTATCTTGTTAACCCTACCTGTCAAAATGCCTTTATTCCTTGCTTTATACCTCTGCTGGAGTGGTCCAGCAGAGGCATCTGGTGGACCTGGGCTCTTCTCTTTATTTGTTTATTTGTTGGTTGGGTGATTCATTCATTCATAAACTACTTACTGTGCCCTGTTCTGTGAGCCAGGCAGTGTCCCCAGTCTGGGCTGATGTGGGGCCTAGAGAAGGCCTCAGTGAGGAAGGCCAGAGAGGATCGCTCTGCTGAGGGGATAGTCCCACTGAAGGCCCTGGTGGGGAAGAGCGCTGACTGGTGGAATAATGGCACAGTTCTCTGCTCCACCACTTTCTACCTTTGCAACCTGAGAGGTTGTCACCCCTCAGACCCTCAGTATTCTCATCTATAAAATGGGCTGGTAGTCCTTGCTTTAAAGATTGTTATATTATTTCTTAAAATATTGTTCTCCCACAGACTACTAAAAGGTTTATATCTTAAAACTAGTTACCTTTCCTACTCCTTCCCATCTTCCAGTGACACTTTCCACTCTTTCAGCTGCCTTCTGGTTATATTTCTAAATAGATGGTGTACGTGGCTCTTTTCTCTCTTAACATTGTTATGCTAATTGAAGAGCTAACTCTTATACCACTGTCCCTGCTTTTTCCCAACATAGTGGTAAGCACAATTTTGATGGAGTCTGTAGACAGTGCTGTGATTATTAAGGTCGTGTATACATTTTTCACAGCTGAGCTAGGTAGTATTCTGTCATTACATTGCCTTTCTCCTGCAACATTTTCTCTCTTTTTCCTAGAATTAGTAATTGCCTTGTTTTTAAAAAAGTCGCTTAGTTTTCTTAGTACCTATTGCTCTGTTTTTCTAAATGTTGCAGCAAATTGGTCAGAAGCTCCATTGACATGCAAAGCTTGCGTGAGTGCACTGTTTCTGTAATCAGTGTTCCCGTTTCCTCGAGTCCACTGCTGCCTCTCACCCCTGCTGTCTTCCTCACAGGACACCACCATCCGTGGAATTGATATGATGGCTGCCTCTTAAGACACGGCTGTTTAAAAACATTTTTTTAAGTGATACATGCATATGGTTAAAAAAATTCCCCAAAACACAAAGGAAGCAAATCTCTCTTATCCAACCCCCAGATGCATCAGTTTTCTTCCCCAGAGGCAACCACTGTTACCAGTTTCTTATATGTGCTTCGGTGTTAGTCTATAAAATATCTTCACGCCCCCCCTCCTTGTTTTTTAAACATTAAGGGTAGAATGCTCTACTGTGCTGCACCTTGCTCTTCTAACCAGATCATTTACAGGTCTTTCCACACCAGTACACCGTCTGGCTGCATATAGCAGAGGGCGCCATTTGCCCAGAGCAGATAGTGCCCAGCATGGGGTCATATAATGCAGCGCCGGCAACCCTGGTATGGACGGATCTTCTTCTTCTTTTTCTTTTTTTTTTTTTTTTTGTGAGGAAGATCAGCCCTGAGCTAACATTGCTGCTAATCCTCCTCTTTTTGCTGAGGAAGACTGGCTCTGCGCTAACATCTATTGCCAATCCTCCTCCTTTTTTTCCCCCAAAGCCCCAGCAGATATGTCATAGTTGCACATCCTTCTAGTTGCTGTATGTGGGACGCGGCCTCAGCATGGCCGGAGAAGCGGTGGGTCAGTGTGCACCTGGGATCCGAACCCAGGGCTGCCAGTAGCAGAGCGTGCGCACTCAACCACTAAGCCACGGGGCCGGCCCCAGGTCTCCTTCTTGAGACAGCTAGGTCTATTGTGTGGATGAACTATAACTTCCCTAACTAGGATGGCCATTTAGGTTATCAGTCCAAAGTTTTGTTTTATTTTTTAAAGAAAGACTGTCCTCAAAATATGATTCTTAAAAGTTGAGGATTTTAGTGACTTATTTTTATTAGTAACAATTAATTATTTGGTGCTGGCAGTGTTTCTCTACAGGCATGGAGCATCTAACTCAAAGTTTTATTCCATCTACCTACAGGCCCTTTGTCATCTCTAGGAACCAGAGACAACAGTCGTTTCACCAGCTTGACCCGTGCGCTACAGACACAGTGCTGTATTTCTTCTCCCAGTAACTCGATGGGCCAACAGTATAGATCCTATAGTTTCTTCACTAAATGTACGTAGACTACCCACAAACTTCCCATTTCATGAAACAGGAAAATAAAAGGTGGTTTTGTATCTTAATTTTTCTTCTTTTTCATCTTCTTCCTTAAATGAATTAACACTTAGTGATTCGTATATGATGTACTATTTAAATAAAAATGTTCCTTTGTGTACCTCCTAGAATTATCTCACATGCTGCCAGTTGTATTTGTACTCTCCTTCAGGGAGCGCTAGTTTACTTTAATCTCCTCATTTGAGGCACCTGAGGCCTAAAGGGTATTGCATTGTGGCCCAAATCCCTGCTGATTTAGAGTCACACCAAGAACATACTCAAAGTCTTTTTTCAGTTGTGCTTCAGTTGGGGAGATGGGATATCTAATTAGGAAAAGTTAATTATAAGTAGATGATGTTTTGCTAATATTACTCCTAGTTATGATAGTATTTGAAAGAGTCCAATCTGAACTGAAATTAGCTTGTAATAAATGGAGGTGAAATTCACAACTCAGCATTAGGCAAATTAAAAGAAATGAGGCCTATAAAGCCAATTCATTTTAGACTATTTGGTAAATACAGAAAATCAAAAATAAGAACATTGGGGCTGGCCCGGTGGTGCAGCGGTTAAGTATACGTGCTCTGCTTTGGCAGCCCGGCGTTCTCAGGTTTGGATCCCGAGCGTGCACCGATGCACCGCTTGTCAAGCTGTGCTGTGGTGGTGTCCCATATAAAGTAGAGGAAGATGGGCACGGATGTGAGCCCAGGGCTAATCTTCCTCAGCAAAAAGAGGAGGATTGGCAGATGTTAGCACAGGGCTGATCTTCCTCACCAAAAAAAAACAAAAAAAAAAAAAATCATCTATAATCCTACTACCCTGAAATACTGGGTTTGCCACTTTTTTCATGTAGAATATATTATATGTTTTTCCACGTTAGTACATAGCCTTCTCCAATGCAGTGTTATGACTGTAGAGTGTCTCATCGTGTGGGGTCCAGATCCCTGTACTTTGGCAGTCTCGTGGTATCTAGGTCATTGTGTAGCAGTGGACCAGGTGGCAGGAAGGCCCTCTTTCCAGGTGGAAAGGGGACCAGGTGGCAGGGGATTACCAGTAACATAGGCTTAGTTGTGTTTGCGGGTTGTGGTGCAAGGGAAAGCGAGGTGGGTAGATGTGGAGCCATTAGCCTCTTCTCTTGGTGCCCACAGCCCCAGTTTTTCCTTAGAGCTGACTTTGTACTTTGGGGGGCTATATCAGATTTACAGGCCTTGGGAATTTTTAATAGTCTTTTCCCTGCACGAAAAGACCTTATCTCCAACTCTTGTTCTAGAGGTGCCCCTTGCCCTCTGAGACCCCGTCCCTGTACTTTTGTCCCACACCTGCCTCTGACTCTCCATTTGCCTACGTTCTTCCTCACTTATAGGAATCTGTACCCTTCTGAGTTTACTGCTCCCAAGTCACATTGAGATTAGCTTCAAGGGGGCAAACTCAGTTGAAACTAGTATGGGGCTAGTTTTTGCTGCTTCTACTTTGATTTTCTAAATCTCTTCTAAGAAATAAAAAACGTAAAATTTCAAAACTCATTGATTTCCTAAGAATATTTAACATTGTACTTGTAAATCTATCCCTCTGCCATAGAGGGTCCACCATTTAAATCCCTTGGATCCAAATTAGCAAGCAGTGTTATTTAGCGTGATTAAGACAGAAATAGCTCAGTGTGTCAAATTAGATGCAACAGTGGATTTTGTATATATGTATGTGTGTGTGTGTGTATAAACATGAACTTTATTTTATATAACTGTGGTAGTTAATAGGTGTATATATTAACCTACCTACACCTTTCTAGAAAATGACAGAAAAGGTTGAAATAATAGTAAAGGCTCACAATGTGATATATAAAGTGAAAAACAGGATACAAAATTGTACGTATGGCATAATTTCAGTTTTGTTTAAAACAAAAAAATATATATATACAGTTATGAATGTAGGCATGAATAAAGAAAAAGATAAAATATACATTCTGATCTAACAGTGGTGATCAGATTACGATTATTTTTTATATTCTTCATACTGTCTGTATTTTCCAGATTTAAAAAAAAAATAGCTGTTTCTTTTATAATCTGAAAAAAAGATTAAAACCATTTCTTATAGCATAATGGCATCCAAAAGTTGACATATGACTTGCTATCTTTTTCAAATGTAGTTAGAAATTTTGTTTTCCTCGTATATAAAATACTGAACTAAACTCGTTAGTCTTTTACATTTTTGTCTCAATATCAAGTTCCTTTTAAAATGGCATTTAGTCTTAATGAGTGATTTGCTTGTTCTGCTTCTAAGTGAAGAACAACTCTATTGACCTCTTAATCTGCTGCCCATTATAAGTGCTTTCATTGTGAACTTTTAAGTTTTTGATGGCATTTATAGGTACCATCATTTTTAAGCAGTTAGGAAAGAAAATCAAATCTTTAGTGAGAGTTTAGCACATGGTGAGGTTGGTAATTTTATTTCCAACCTGTGGTTCTTTTAAGTGAATCAGTGTCAACCTAAAGTTTGAGTTTAACCCTTTGCTCTGATCAGGGATACACAAAGCAGCATGTGACGTGGAATCTCACTTTTTTGAGCGTTAGTTGTGAAGATCAGCTATAGTGATATGTGTATACTGAAAAATGAGATACTGTACAGATACTAAAAATATTATAAATCCAAAATATTTTTCTCTTTCCGTGTTATCTCCCCAGAGGATCAAGGTAAGGCCTTTCAGGAAGCAAGCAGGTAGAACTTTTAAACCCTAAGGGCTCATAAGAGAAGGAGAATGAAGATACTCATTTGTCTTCTAGAATGTGTTTAGTATTTCAGACATGTAGGTATATGTATCTTAGATTTTTGGCTAGTGCAACTAGAGTTGGCTAGCTGTGTGTGGCTCTGATTCTTTATTAAATAAATTGCTAATGAAACAATATATGGTTATAAAATCAATTGGTGGTACTACTAAAGCTGCAAGTTCTTGGGAGGACAGAATTTAAATCTAATAAATGATGTAAGTACAGCAATAAAATTAGTAGTGGTCAAAAGTAGAGAATGTGAATGTTCTACAAGTACAAAGGGGAAAATACTGATTGAAATGTATGATAGAAAAAGATTTTGGAATCCTAGAAATTCACAAATGGACATAAATCAGCAGTGTCAGGGTCTATACATAAAGTAAAAGACAAGCATGATATCAGAAGTACAGGCACATGCAAGTATTAACTATCAGAACCCTATATACTCATTCTTTCCTGTGTATTGGTTAGACTTCAATTAGAGTTGAAGGTGAATTTGGGCGTCTGATTTTGAAGGATACACAGAGATGTTTAGGGCATTTACAGAAGAATAGAGCAAACCAAATTATTATTGTTTATGGGTTCAGATTGAAGTGTTGCTTTTTGTTTGGGCTAAGAAACCTGTATTTAGGAAGAATAGTTAATTGATTATCTTATTGGTTAAAATGGAGGCAAGAAGGCAGTGAAGAGACCTGTGCCATAGTTGATAAAATGTCTGGGAAACAAACCTCCTGCTAAGTAAATGTGATTTAAATGTGGGCCATCTTTTGTGGAGGAAAGCTATATTCTTTGAAAGTAGTAGAATTGTCTCCTCTTGGGTTTTCCAAATATGAACATATGATATGTGCAAAGGATGATTTAAGTTTGCTTTCATTGCCACAATGATAAAAGTGAAGCTGGCCTCTTCTAGCCGTTTTTCTCCAATAGGAAACTGTAGATCATTGCTTGAAAAATTTTTTAAAAAGCTTGTTTCATTATAGTGACGGCAGATGAGCTGTGGAAAGGTGCTTTAGCAGAGACTGGTGCTGGAGCAAGGAAAGGAAGAGGCAAAAGAACCAAGAAAAAGAGAAGAAAGGATTTGAACAGGGGTCAGATTATTGGTGAAGGTAAGCTTATTTATAAAAACAGCTAGTGTGCTTTTTAATATTTTTTCCACAAAATTTTATAGATATTTTATAAACTAGAAGCATTTCTCATGAAGGGCACTAGGATCTGTGGTTTTAGAGTCCAATCAAATGGCTTACTTATTGCCCCATGATTTAGGGGGAGGGAAATCCCGTAGAAAGGGATTCATTCTTTCAGTTATTCATTCAGCAAGCCTAAGTGTCCTTGTGTGGCATCTGGTGTGACAGTCCCTGCCCTCAAAGAGCTTATGATTCAGTGACAGAAGATGGAATAAATGGAGAGTTGGCAAACTTTCTCTGCAGAGGGCCAGATAGTAAGTGTTTTCAGCTTTGTGAGCCACATGATCTCTGTCACAACTATTCAGCTCTGCCATTGGGGCACAAAAACAGTCACAGACAATACACAATTGAATGGGCATAGCTGTGTTCCAATAAAACTTTATTTACAAAAACAAGTAGTGGGCTGGATTTGGTCCATGGGCTTTAGTTTGCCAACCCTGGGAACACATGATTGTTTATATTGTGTCTTTTGAAGAATAAAAATAGTATAGTGTACTTGAATCGACATTTTGTACAGTGATTGCTAACAAATCATCTGTGATAGAACCAGCCTTCTGGACATAAAGCCAGCACCTCTCACTGCACTTCTAGCTGTTGCACGTTTACCTGGATGTTCTTCTCTAGGACTTACCTTGTGTCTTATTTTATTTTTTAACATTTTTTAAAATCATAGCAATCATGTATGTATTCCTTCTCAGTAAAAATTCAGAGACTACAGAGGAACCTAAAGTCTCCCTTCATCCCCTTTCCATCTCCCCCAATCCCAGTTGCCACCCCCAAGGAAACCACTGCTCTCATTTTGGTGTATCTCCTGAAAATTTTTAATGCTTTTATATACATAAATACCCTAAAAGAAATATATAATATCTTCTTTTTAGAAATAATTACATTATATGGTACATACTGTCTTATAATTTACCTTTTCACTCAATAATAGGTCTTGGAAATTGTTCCACATCAGAACCTATAGAGCTACCTCATTCTTTCAATTTAGTGCAGAATATTTCGTAGGTGGATATGCCGTATTTGATTTAACTATCCTAATGTTGCTGGACATTTAAATTGTTTCCATTTTCTGCCTTTACAAACAACACTTCAGTGGACATCCTTGTCCAAGGACACATGTGCCTTGCACCTCTATGGGAGTGTTTCTCTAGGTAATACCATGACGTGGAATTACCAGCTGTTAGGGTGGGTACATTTACAATTTTAATGGACAAGGCCATGTGGCCTGCCAAGCAATTTATGTTATTTTAAGCTGCCACCAGCAGTATCACTATCTGTACACCCATTGCCTGGCATTTTAACACTCAAGAAATGAATAATTTTTAAAAATTCTCATTTATGTCTGTTTTTAAACCTTCAGGGCGTCATGGGTTCCTGTGGCCTGGTCTGAATGCCCCTCTTATGAGAAATGGAGCTGTGCAGACCATTGCCCAGAGAAGCAAGGAAGAGCAGGAGAAGGTGGAGGCTGATATGGTCCAGCAGAGACAGGAGTGGGACCGGAAGAGGAAGATGAAGGTTAAAAGGGAGCGAGGATGGAGTGGAAACACGTGGGGAGGTGTCAGTCTCGGCGCCCCGGACCCTGGTCCCAACGGAGGTATCAGAGTCCTGGTTTTGCTTACCTCTGTGGCAGAATACTTGCAGTTTTAGAATTCTTTATTAGGATTTTGTTTCCTCGTCTGTTTAGATTCCCTTTTTCCAGAAAAGGATTTGAGTATCATTGAAGTAACTCCACGTTATTATCCACCTGTATTTTATGGAACACTAGAGGCCTATAACCAACAAGTATTCCACAAACAAAATGCAAAGCACTGGATACTGGTATCTTTATTGTGTAGCTTCTCAGAGCCTTAATGTGGTGGTGTGCATTGTGGATCTACACAAGCCACCTACAGGATGCAGTTTCCCGAACACAGTTGGTCAGGGGGTGTCTATGGAGCAGCATAGCTTGGGAGTGCTGTCTCCATAACAGAAGATAAACCGACTGGATAGTTGTCATTAAGCCTCATAAAAGCACACATGAAATAACAATTGATAATGCTTATCAGGCCAAATTAGAAAACAAAGTCCTCTCCCCTCTCCAAGTACATAAAGAAGTAAAAATCACCTGAAAAGTTCATTCTTGTCAATGAGTATGAGATGAAGAGATAGATAAGAGTTTGGCTGCTTCCTTAAGTTTGGCTTAAAGAGGAGAGGAGACGCTGAGATGGAGAGACTTAGGCAACATGCTTAAAACTGAGCAAAGTGCTTCAGTTGGGAGGATAAAGATATGGGAAGGAGAGAAAAAGACCCATAAACTCAGTCCCTAATGAGGGCCCAGATCCAGTGTTTAGATAAGTGGATTAACTCCTGACAGAAGAAAGGGCAGGGTACAGACTCAGGTGAGCCTCTTTTGTTGGTAGTGGACATGTGTGGGGGCGGGGCATGTGGGTGGTATCTCTTCTGGTGACGTCATTCAGTCTGTGAGGAGGAGCTGGGGTCATCTGCTGAAAGTAGGATTGATGAGCACGGCCACCAGAATATTTTGGTGAAAAGGTGTCTGGACTGGCTTCAAAATTATCCAGTGGAGTGGGAGTTGGACAGTTTGGAGGAAAGAAGATTGGCCATGAGTTGATAATTATTGAAGCTGGCTAATGGGTACATAAGCTTTTATTTTACTGTTCTCCCTATTTTTGTCTATGAGTGCAATTTTCTATAGTAAACAGTTAATAAAAATGAAAGAACACAGAGAGAATTTGAAATGGCTGCTGAGGTGAGTGGAGAGAGACCTGACTAAAGGACATGAAAGGCTAACACACAGCAGGGAGGACTCACCTGAGGTGGAGACCATGGATTTTTAGTGGCCCAAGTGTGTACTCTGCTTTGACTTCTCTCCAGCAGCACCCAGCAGGCCAGGTGTGGCAGACAGCTGCATGGATTCAGGCCTGGACAGTGTGGTGGAGAGAAAAGGGTGAGAGCGTTGAGGACATTCACAAGATCTGGTGGAGGTGATGGACTGTGGTGTCCTGGCTGAGTGGGAGAGGCTGTGAAGAGCAGAGGGCGTGAGAGATAAGGGGAAAACAGTGGTCAAGAGTCTGGGGGTGCTGGGAAGCTCCAAGAACCATTGTCTTGGGAGTCGTTGAGTGCGAGAGCTGGGGGGTTAGGAGGATGCAGTCTGGGAGATGGTGGCCGAGCTGGTGAATTCAGTGGTGGAGCAGTCTCTGGTGATGATGGAGGACCAGGGCGTGGCCTTGGGAGCGGCACCAAACAATCTGAGATTCTTTCTCACTCAAAAGTCAGTGATGGAGCCTGTGTTGAAAAGTGCTTTCACACACTAACTCTACAGACACATTTACCTGTATGCCTGTTTCTTCTCTCCCTGCAGAAACATATGACGATTTTGATACCAGGATTCTTGAGGTAGGCATGCTGCATTAAATACCCAGTTAAGCCTTTGGAGAAGTTGGGGTGGGTGGAGTGGGGATAGGGCAAGAGGAACTGTGAGGGAAAGCTTTGATGCATGACTTTTTCTAGACACAGAGCTGATTTGAGTAAGTAAATGATGGAACTTGAATTTCAGTGACTTGATACTGGCTTTCCTGACTGCCGCCCTTTGTGGGGGCTACCAGTTGAGGTCCCAGGACAAGGCAATTTCGGTGGTATTGTCGGTAACAGAAATTGGAGATTAAGTTTCCTCCTTCCTAAAGCTAAGGTAGCATTAGCAATCTGTCCTCAAATTATACACCAGCTGTATGTGGCACTCAATGCAGGGAGCAGAGCCTGAGAGGAGCCGTGGGGTGGGGGTGGGAAGCTTGGAGTTGCTGTGAATGTCCAGCTCTTGATGGGAAATGACCTGCTGGGCTGCTTGCAGGCACACGAATGTGGTGAATTCAGTCACTCTTTCCAGGACATTCCCTAAAAGAGTCAGCTTCCCTGTGAGCTAGTGCTGCACACTGGGTGTTAAATACCATAAGGAATGACCATTTATTGAGTTCATGATTGAGTATGTATATTGTTTCTTCAATGTCAGTTGCATCATAGAATTTAACATCTGGTCACCAGTGTTTTATGTCTTTGGTCCCAGTTTGTACCTTTTGGAAGTTAATTCCTTTGAAGCATCCTGTGTGTGTGGTGGTTTCCTGTCGGGTCGTCCACAGGGTGGACGGGAGCTCCCGTTTCCTTGAACCCATTTTATGGGAAAGGGGCTGCCAGATAAGCAGATTAGTTCACAGTTTCATAGTTCCTGCCCTTTTAAATATGCCCCCAAATGCAGATTTTCCTGTAGTTCATAATAAGCAGACATTTCCAGATTTTCTATTCTCAGGTGAGCCTAGTCCTGAGCATAGAGATCCAGTCCTATGCTAATTCTTTCTCTAGGCTGCATTTTATCATTTCTAAGTACACATTTTTTCATATTTTAACACCTCTGATATTGGGTATGTCTTATAGTCAATCAGTTATAAACCATGTCAAAGTATAATAAGCAACTATTTTTCTTTCTTGCGGTACATTCATTAAAATAGGGTATGTTGAGTTGTACAGTTTCAGGTCCCTTTAAAAGTTACCTCAGTGGCACCTTCTAACAACCCTGTGAAATAGGAGGAGAAAGTCTTGTTTCCTTTTTGCTCCTGAGGAAACAGTCCCGAGAGAGGTTCCTTTGGAGAAAGTTTGCGTTTATGCTCGTGGACTTGGAGGATGATGTATGATTCAGCACGTGTGCGTTGTTTGTAAGGAGGTCACCCCAGTTTTCTACTCCAGAATGTTATTGAGGTGTAATATTTATGAAACACTTTGTCTTTTAGGTCAGAAATGTTTTCAATATGACAGCAAAAGAGGGAAGGAAGAAATCAGTCCGCGTCCTGGTCGCTGTGGGGAACGGCCGAGGAGCCGCAGGTGAACGGGGTGTGATGGTACACGTGGTGCTGGTGGTGGTGGCAGAGGACAGGCGCGGCTGTGCTTGCCTGTGGGGTCTGCGCGTTCACGCTGCAGCCAGCCGTTTCCTCCTGATTAAACCTGTTAGCGGTTTGGGCTCACAAGCCTTGTGGTAAACCCATGAACTCCCTTAGAGGGAAAAGATCTTCCTACATCTGCCCTTTCCTATGAGGACAATGGATACTTAAAAAAGCTTAAGACACTAATGTATTATGTATAATAGTGAAAAATTAGGGAGAAAAAACAATGTTCAACAATAGGGACATAGTTACAGAAAGAGTGTAGTCACACATTTTAATGTTCTGTAGCCCTTAAAGAATTATGGAAAATCATTTACAAAATAATGCTAAATTAAAATAAAAAAATGATTTCATGTAAGACTGTATAATATAATCCCAATTTTTTTTTGTGTGTGTGTGTGTGTGAGAAAGATCAGCCCTGAGCTAGTAACATTCATGCCAATCTTCTTCTTTTTTTTTTTCTTAGGGAGACTGGCCCTGAGCTAACATCTATTGCCAATGCTCCTCCTTTTTTTTTCCCTTTTTCTCCCCAAAGCCCCAGTAGATAGTTGTTTGTCATAGTTGCACGTCGTTCTAGTTGCTGTATGTGGGACGCCACCTCAGCATGGCCAGACAAGTGGTGGGTTGGTGTGCGCCCGGGATCAGAACCCGGGCTGCCAGCAGCAGAGCACGTGCACTTAACTGCTAAGCCATGGAGCCGGCCCCCCAATTTTTGTTTTTTAATAAAATATGTTAATATAAATGGAAAAGACTGGAAAGATACTCAATGAAAAGTTTAATAATGTTTACTCTAATTTGCCAATTATTTACATTTTCTTCCGTATACTTTTCTATAAAGTTTCTATAGTGAACATCTGTTTTTCAAATGTATACGTGAATGTATAAGGGAAAGAAAACTGGAAAACTGTCTATTTAACCCATACTGACACTTTGAAAACAAGCAGTGTGTATGGATGGTATTTGCCAAAGGAAACCACTCTTTTTTTTTTTTTAAAGGAAGATTGGCCCTGAGCTAACATCTGTTGCCAATCTTCCTCCTTTTTTCCTTTTTTCTCCCCAAAGCCCCAGTAGATAGTTGTACGTCATAGTTGTACATCCTTCTAGTTGCTCTATGTGGGGCGCCACCTCAGCATGACTTGATGAGTGGTATGTAGTTCTGTGCCCACGATCTGAAGCAGTGAACCCTGAGCTGTCAAAGCAGAGCAGGTGAACTTAACCGCTACGCCGCCTGCCGGCCCCTGGGAAACCACTCTTAACATGTTGTTACTTCTGTATCTTTCTTGAAATTCTGTATTCATATATCACCATATATCTGTTAAAAAATTGATACAAAGGGATCATATCATATCCATAATTTAGCACCTTGCTTTTCTTGCTTAGTATTATACTCAGAGATCTTTCTGTATCAGCATAAACAGATTCCCCTTCATTTTTTGTACTGATTGCATAATGTTCCATTGTATGAATAAACATAATTTTTGTAACATTTTCCCTATTGCTGAATATTTACATTGTTTCCAGGTTTTTACTGTTTATAAAAGATAACGAGCTTCTTGTACATGTAATTTGTTGTACTTTTGCAAGTATATCAATAGGGGAAATTTCTTGCTGAAATTACTGCCTCAAAGTTCTATGCGTTTTAAATGTTGGTGAGTATTACCAGATCGCCCTCCTAAATGTTGCCTCAGTTTATCTTCATCTGGACCATCACATCCTTGCCAGCCCAGGATATGATCAAACTGTGCTGACTGTCAATATGATATGGGAAACATATCTCTTAGTTCTGATTTGCATTTCTTTAATTATATGAATTTAGACACCATTTTACATGTTTATTGGCTGTTATCCTTTTTGAAATCTGTTCGTTCATGTGTTTTACCCATTTTTCTATTGGGTGATGGTTCTTCCTTATTGATTAGTATAAGTTCTTTGTAAGTTAAGAACATTAGCCCTTGGTCTGTTATGTACTTGACTTAGTTTTTAATTTTTTTCTATACAAAGTTTTAAATTCACAGAAGTTTCAAACCTTTGTATACCAAGTTTATCAGTCTTCTATCACTTCTGGTTTAGTGTCTTGCTTAGAAAGCCTTCATCTGAAGATTATAAATAAGTTCACCCATATTTTCGTCTTGGACCTTTATGGTTTAATTTGTTTTGTTTAAATTAGGGGTTGGAATCCTCAGCCCCTTTTGTCCCATGTTCTCAGATGTCTTGCATATCTCATGGAACAGTATTGTCTTATGTTACTTTGCTGTGTATAATTTAAACATAAAATACATTCTTCAAAATAATAATTAATGGTGACAGCAAATAATGGAAGCATTTCCATTGACTTGTGATAAACCTCATTTCACAGGGTTAAGCATTTACAGACTCAAGAATCGTTGATTTTATTTCGTGGTTAATTGAAATGTGAACTGCATTTGAAACTTTCAGTGAAATTGTGGTTTTACTCTATAGCAGTGTATGTTTTTTCCCAACCTTTCTGTTTATTTTAATCTATTCTCAAAAATGTTCAAAACCATTTACCTTATTAATTTAAATATTAATGGTTTGTTTTTTTAAATTGAGTATATTTAGTTTTATCTAGTGATTTATAAAGGTAATGTTATGCATCTAACTTTGGATTTCGTAGATACTTTCAGCTGTAATATTTCCTAGCTGCCCCAATACACAGAAGCAAATCTCTGTAGCCTCACGCTCTGTCATTCGTTTTGCACAGCAGGTTTTCTGTGGGAAGAAGAAAAATGAAGCACGATGAAATATTGTAGGAGCTGAAACTTAAAATGTGGCAAAAGACATTATGTGCCAAATTTATGCCCCTTTTCATATTTTTGCTTTTTCTCTTACGTTTTACTCTTAGGTTTTGCCATTGGGAAAGCCACTGAACGGGTGGATGCTTTCAGGAAAGTACGTACATTTTTCCTTTGTTGACAGTAAAAGATCAATAAGCTATGTGCTAGACACCTCAGAACCACAAAAAAGATAAAAATAGGAACCCTCCCCTGAAACTTACTGTCGAAAGGTCACTTATCTTATAAAAAGCAGTTTTAGAAGTGCCTGTATTCTTTTGCATCATTTTTATCAGACATTTGATTGCGACAAGATTATGAGACAGCCGGGAAAGGTTGAACACTGACAGAACGTTGACAGATACTGAGGAATTATTGTTAATTTTTTTAGGGGTGATAGTGACATTGTGCTTATGTTTTTTATTAAATCCTTAGCTTTTAGAAGTATATACTGAAATTTTTGTGTGTTTGAAATTTTCTATAATAAAATATTTTATGAAAGATACTTTTTGAAATCTCTGAGAAAATGTAAATTCCAGCAATAGATTCAAAACAAATATTTTCCTTCTTTCAGGCAAAGAACAAAGCAGTTCACTATCTGCATTATATAGAACGATATGAAGACCATACGAGTGAGTGTTAGTCTTTTCTTTTAAAATTCACAGGATTACACTTGTTTCATTATGCGAGGCAATATGTCTCTATACGTATGTTTGTGTTTCTCTGCTCCTTGCTGCGTTCTTACAAATAAACATATGAAGTGTAGAGACAAACTCTCTCTCCTGAGAAGGTTAGTGATGAGGGAAATCAGAGTCTGTCCCTCGTCGTGGCCCAGTCTGTGCTGGCTGCCTCGGGTGGTATTAGCTGCTTTGTGATATTTGCAAGGGCATCAAAACTACACCCCTAATCCTTCTTGTGTTTATGTGTTTTCCCTCCAGTATTCCACGATATTTCTTTAACATTTAAAAGGACGCATATCAAGATGAAGAAACAACCCAGAGGTAACTACAAAACTCATATTTGTTGAAGATACAGCAGAGAAATCTCACAGTTCCATCGTGTCCTCTATTTTTGCTCACATTTACTAGAATTCACTTTGAAAATACCAGAATTGAAAGGCCTAAGTTAGATTGAAGAAGGCTGAGGCTCTCAGGGAAATAAAAAGTAGTCAACCTACCCAGACTCCCGTGAGCACCAGCATGTTCCGGGGTAACTCCAGGCGGGAAGAGCACATTATGAAGAGGAAATAGCAGCTGAGTGAGGAGGTGGGCTTGGATGAGTGGGAACGTCAGTTCCTCCGGGAGACGTCATTGACGCTCTTAGATGGTTCTGTTCTTAGAGCTCATTTGGTTCCAGTCATTTCCTCTCATCACCGGGTATTGATTGACCGTCTTCTGTGAGCCAGGTGCTACGCTTAGCTGTGCGGATGCAGAGATGGACCTTCCTCCTGTCCTGTGGGAGAGCAGGCAGGCAGGCAGGCAGGGTTCAGGGTCCCGGGGCTGTGGCAGTCATGCCCAGTGGACCTGGAGTGTAGAATCCTTGAACATTCTGATTTGCTTGTCACCTGTGGTTCCACAGTAAGACTGATTTCATATAACTCTAGATCTATCTTAAAAAGTTTTGATCGAAAGGAGGTAAAACATATTTAAAATTTTTATGTCAGAGCTTCTAGTGCAGCTCTGCTAGAGCTATGGCCTGGAAATAAATCAAGAAAAAAAATCAACTACAGTACTGATTGTATTAGTAACTAGAGCTTGCCTTCTGCTTTAAAGTCATAATTGTCTGATAGAAACCACTTAGTTTATCATTAGAGAAATGACTGAGCACTCAGACATCAAGGTCTAGACCTGCGCGGGGCCGTGTCGTAGTTACTGGCCTGAGTGGCTATTGAGCACTTGAGACGTGGCTACTGAGGTTGGCTGTAAGTGCCAAATACACAGCAGATTTCAAAGACTTAGTATGAAAAAAAGAATGCAAAATATCTCAAAAATATTATTATATTGATTACATGTTGAAATGATAATGTTTTGGACATTGGGTTAAGAAAATATATTACTAAAATTAATTGTATTTTTTTGACTTTTTGAATGCACCCATGAGAAAATTTAAAATTACACGTATGGCTTGCACGTATTTCTGTTGGACAGCGTTGGTTTAGATACATTTATCTGAATGATTTTTGAAAGACTGCTACAATTTTAATTTAATTTATTTGCAGAAGTTACCTTTTTTATCTTCCCTGTCATCTAATCAAAGCTATAGGTTATAGCTGTAGGTTGCTATATCGTTTAACCCATTTCCTGTGCATTGGGGTTAAACAGTCTGATTTTGAAGCTAAAACAGTATGCTGCGTCATAGACAGCATTTCCTAAATTATGTTCCTGTGCATCACTCCTTCCATGAGGAGATACTAACAGGTGCTACCCCAAAAAGGGTGCCAAGTGGGAAAGTTGGATTAAGGAAAGTGAAAAAGGTGTTTGTACGTGTGTGTGAAGGTCCCAGTCTTTGATGCACTAGTGTGCGTGTGAGTCTCCAGACAGGGACAGAGAATGCAACGTTCCCAGACTTACTAACCCTGGGACACTTCTGCCTTGTCTGCAGGACAGTACTTAACTCCTCACACAGCACTGCGAGAGCTTCCTGTATGACACACACACACACACACACACTCTCCCTCTCTC